AAGAAGAAGAAGAAGAAGAAGAAGAAGAAGAAGAAGAAGAAGAAGAAGAAGAAGAAGAAGAAGAAGAAGAGAGGAGGAGGAGGTAAGAAAAAGAAGAAGAGTGGAGAAGGAGGAGAGGAGGAAGAGGAGGATCAGCTAAATAGCTAAAGGCAGAGAATAAGATTGAGGAGGGGCAACTGTGACAGAGTAGACCTGTGCTCAGCCCCGTTGCAAATCCAGAAAGCTGCCTAACCTCACACTGGCTTTAAATTCCTTTCTCCACTAATACTTCCACCAGGGCTACAAGAAGCTCAGCTCTGAGAATGGTCCTCAGCCTTACATAAAAGCAAAAGGGGTGCCCGTGTCTAGCAGTCATTCACTCATTTAACAGCTATTTATTAAATAGTGAGCATGTCCAGCACAGAAGCAAATGCAAGTGGTGCTGCTTAGCAGCCTACGGAAACGATGAAGCTACAACAGCAACGTGTCGGGGGCGTAAGGAGAGAGTAAGTGCACACGGGTACAGAGGCTTGTCACTCTGCTGTAGTCAGGAAGCCTTGAAGGTTGCCTGGCGGGGTGCAGAACCAGCCTGGGTCTGCTGGGATAGATGGAAGAGCATGCCTGCTGGGGAAGTCAATACAATGTGCACACATCTCAAATGGGTGCTTCTAAGTAGAGGCAATCTGGCTAGGATGGCCAGAGAGGACTGGGGATGTGGGCAGTCCGCCTGGAGAAGCAGGAGAGCCTCGCAGGCTAAGCTCGGGGTTTAGTCTTTATCCAGTGGGCAGCAGAAGGCGTTCAAAGATTTTTAAGCAGAGGGGAAGCGGCGCTCAGAACTGCAGCTCAGAGGGCTGTCTGTGGCAATGATGGTGATTAGACACAACCACGGGCAGGGTTGGATGCAGAGAGGCCTGGTGACAATCTGCAAGGAGCACACGGGCTGTGTGGGTGTGCTTGTCACCATGCTTTGGCAAGACACATGCCCAGAAAAAGGGCTGACTTACAAGAATCCGCTCCTGAAAGCCCAGTTAGGCCCAACCAGGACCGAAGCCAACTTCCACTTTATTCAGGATGCTTTCACTTTCAAGACATCTTGTTTTGAGTCAAGATTCCTCCTTCTGAACATGGGACTTTCCGGCGGGACCACAGCGCCTGCCCTGCACTCATTTGGCTGAGGATATCCTGATTTGCTGAGGAAGTCTTCCGAAGGAGCACGTCGGCCATGTGGTGCCTCTGGGGTCTTCTTCTCTGCGAAGGTAAGTGGAGCAGATGGACAGACAGCCTGTCCTCTGGGGAGTTGAAAGCCCCTACCCGGCTGCCCTCATCAGACCTCTAGGCAGCAGCCTCTCAAAACCAAGTAAGAACCCAGAAACTAAGGAGAAATGGAGAACGAAGCAAAGTCTGGAGCAGCCTAACGCAGGGTTTTGGATGAAATGGGGTGGCAGCATTAGTGGCATCTGTAGCCAGGAGACACCGTCTGTTCTAGGACCCAGAGAAGCTTAACATGATGGCAGTTTTGAGAGAAAGTTGGGGGCAGAGATGATGGGGATCTGTCAGTACTGGCACGTGGGGACTCTACAGCCCAGGGAGAAGAGGGGGGAAGCAGAGCGGGGCTCCCTATGGTCTGAGGAATGTTTATCAGCCTGTACAAGGGAAGACAGACATTGGGTAGAGAGGAAAGATGACAACAGGTTAAACATGGTCCCTGTGGGCTTGAGGATAGTCTCCAAACCCTCGGTGGCCCCTTCATCCATCTGTGCCTGAGTCCCCCTCTTTGATCAACAAGTAGTCAACATGACAAGGCCAGCCCCTGCAGGGCCAGGATGGAGTTCACAGACCCCCAAGACACTGTTGCTTCCTTCAGAGACTCATAAGGACTAGACAAGAACTCACCGCATTTTCAGACCTTCGATCGTCTTTAGAGAGGATCTTTCTGGCAACAGCCAGAGGACAGCACACAGCCTCCCTGTCCTATTTAGAGTAGGAAGGTGACGAGCTGAAGGTCACACAGCTGATTTGTGGCAGAGCCAGGACACGAGAGAACCTCAGTTTCAACTGACATCTCCCATTAACACTTATCCTATCAGGATGGAGATGGCCGGGCCCAGCAACGGCAAGGATGTGGATAAGGACTAGACTTGCGGCCAGCAGAGTGGCCAGGCTGAACAGGTGTCCTTAGCCCAACTCCCAGCCTTGGTTATATTACATATCATCCTAACCTTTCCATGCATCCCAAGGCCTTCTTCTATGCCAGGCTTAAGGTCAGTTCTCTGCAAACTCAGTGCAATTTACTGAACTCCTGTGGTCTGGTATTAAACCAGGGCACTACAAGTACATGGATGAAGACATTTGCTCTTGACCTGAAAGAGTTCATGGCCTGGTGGGAGATGCTGATTCAGAAACAGACAATAATAAGACAGGGGTGCTGATCCCTGATCACTGTGGGAAAACAGAAAGAATGTATACCTGCAGTGAGAGACGGGAGAGGTTAGAGGTGATGGTGATCTTCCAGAGTAAGCGTAAACAAGGCAGGAAAAGGGTCAAGAGGGCAGCTCAAGAAGGGTTGTCTTCCTCATACTCCACACTCAAACCACTCCTCAGAAAAGCCAGCATCTTGCCATCTCATCTCCTGTCTGTCTCTGTCCTTGTTTCAGATGCAATGATGGGCAATGGATCCCAAAGACCTGGGTAGCTGCTCTGGGTTTTCAGTTCTCTCCTTCACTCTCCGGACCTAATCTAATCCCAGCGTTTGCTAATTACACTATTCATCTCTCTGTCTCAATCCTCCCCTTCCCCACAGTTCCCTTCCTTTGTTCAAGTTGCCATCACCTCTCTCTTGCATTAATATAAACAGCCTTGAACTTCCCCCACCACCAATGCATTCTCCATGCCTCCTGTCATGACTGTCTTAGGCATTTCATCAGGTCACTTTCTCATTTCAAAGATATGTGAGACACACACACAAACACACACAAACACACACACACACACACACACACACACACACACACAATTGTTCTGGGCTTTTTAGCCCAGAAACCAATACTGCCTCATGGCATAGTGTGATCCCACCAACTCTTGGTGACACTGCCTACTTCCTCCCCCTCCACAGAACCAATTTCATTTCCCCATGCTCTCTCCCTTACATTGCTCCTGGTGCTGCTCCCTCAGCCTGTAGACCTTCTCCATCCCTATTCCTGTAGCCACTGCTTGACTGGCTGGTTCTATTCCTCCTTCAGGTTGTTTCTTCTCCGAGGCTGCTCCAAGCTGGGTGAGGACCCCTATTAAGCTACTTGTATGCAGCCATTTTTTCTCATCATGATCCTTAATTTATTTTAATGGCTGTTTTGAGGTCTGGTTTCTCCATGAACAGAGACTTAGATTCTCTTCCTGTTTTGTTCCCCCATCCATGACACACACTACTACACCCTCAACTCAGCACAGCTGCTGGGTGGGGGTGGGGGCTAATTCAATTCCAAGAAACTCTGCTGTTTGCCAGGAGTAGGACAAGACACCTACACAGTCTGATTCACCATGGTTTCTGTCCTTACAGCACTCCTTCCCATTGTGGTTATCAGTGTCCAAGTGCTAAGCAAGGTAGGAGACTCTGTGCTGCTGGACGCAGAGTGCCCTCCCGGCTTCCAAGTGCGGGAGGCCATCTGGCGATCTCTCTGGCCATCAGAGGAGCTCCTGGCCACATTTTTTCGGGGTTCCTTGGAGACTCTGTATCGCTCCCACTTCCTGGGCCGAGTCCAGCTGCATGGCAACCTCAGCCTGGAGCTTGGGCCCCTGAAAACTGAAGACAGTGGCAACTTCTCTGTGCTGATGGTGGACACGGGGGGTCAAACCTGGACCCAGACCCTGCATCTCAAGGTGTACGGTAAGTGTACCCAACACTGGTTCCGACTCTCCTCCTGCAAACTGTCAGCCGAGCACCTGGAGCCTTGGCAGCTGGGGAGGGCTAGGTTCCAGAAAGGCATGGCCTTTGGCCATGATGCTAAGTCAGAGAAGAGCTACTCCCCAGAAGTCACATCTACACTTCCCAGGGGAGCACCTCACGAAGCAGCCGGCTCCACAGGCCACCAACCTCATCTGGACACTGTTCGTTCTTTCCTTGGCTCAGCAGGCTTGGAATGATGTTTACCCACCAGACCGTCACCTTTTCCCTCATTTGTACAGCGAGCCTTATAGCACGTACTATACACTGAGCCCATAAAGATGAAGCACAGTGGTGTGTGGGCAAAGCGGCCTGTCGATCCTCTCTAAGGTATCATCGTAGACTACAGGTGGTACTATATTATTTTATTTACCACTAAAAAGGAAGAGAAAAATGTGACATAGGACATAAATAGTTTTTTACTTACAAGTTAAATTAAACTTGAACTGTAATTAATTATAGAATTTTTGTTCTATATTTTTGTTTTTTCAATTAGATTTATTTTTTAAAAACAATCTTTTCTCATTTTACATACCTATCCAAGTTCCCACTCCCTCTACCTTCCACCCACCCCAGCCCCCAATCCACTCCTCAGAGAGAAGAGTAAGGCTTCCTAAGTGGAGTTGACAAAATCTGACACATTACTTTGAGGCAGGACCAAGGACCTGCCCCTTTTATCTAGACTGAGCAAGGCATCCCTCCAAAACGAATGAGTTCCAAAACACCAGTTCAATCACCAGGGATAAATCCTGGTCTCACTGCTAGTGGCCCCACAGACTGACCAAACTACACAACTGTACCCACATTCAGTGGGCCTAGTTTGGGTCCTATGCAGGTTCCCCCACTATCAGTCCAGAGTCAGTGAATTCTCACTAGCTCAGGTCAGCTCTTTCTGTGGGTATCCCCATTATGGTCATGAGGTCATGACCCCTTTGCTTATATTATTGCTTCTCTCTCTCTTGACCTGGTCTCTGGAAGCTCGGCCCAGTGCTTAACTGTGGATCTCTGCATCTGCTTCCATCAGTTGCTGCGTGAAGGTTCTATGATGACAATTAAGGTAGTCATCAATCTGATTTCAGGGGAAGGCCAGTTCAGACATCCTCTCCACAGTTGCTTAGGGTCTTAGCTGGGGTCATCCTTGTGGATTCCTGGGAATTTCCCTAGTGCCAGGTTTCTTGTTAGCCCCATGATGGCTCCCTCAATCAAAATATCTTTCTTTGCTCTCCCTCTCTGTCCTTCCCCCATCTTAACCATCCCATTCCCTCCCTTCTCCCCTCCCTCTCCCCTTCCACCCTCCCTTCTCCCACCCCACCCCATCACACTCCCATTACAGAGCTTTTGTTGTTTTGTAGAGGTTTTGTTGTTTTCTTTCTTTCTTTCTTTTTCTTTTTTTATTTCTGTTGTTCTAAAGTTAGCACTAAGGATTCAACCCAGGGCTTTGTACATACTAAACCAATTCTAACAGGGATCTAGACCATCCCCACCCCCAGCTTTACTTTTCCTAAAAGATCTTTTAATTGGCTGTGGTAGGTAACACATGCCCGTAATCCTAACACTTGGAAGTCTGAGGCAGGAGGATTGCTATGGATTCAAAGCCAACCTGAGCTGCTTTACTTAAGAGCTAAAAATAGTCACTATTTTTATTTCTTAGGGTCCATGGGCTGGGCTTTACTGCACAATGCCAACATCGCATCGTGTGCAGCTGCAATTGTCCCTGCAGCTGGAGTGGATGAATTAGCTGAGGATAGAATGAGTTCTCTTTCTCAGCCTCTCTCCCTCCCTCCCTCCCTTCCTCTCTCCCTCTCTCCTTTCCTTCCTCCCTCCCTCTCTCCATCCCTCTCTTTCTCTCTCCCTCTCTCCTTTCCTTCCTCCCTCCCTCTCTTCCCCCCTCTTCTTTCCTTCCTCCCTCCCTCTCTCCCTCTCTCTTTCTTTCTCTCCCTATCTTCTTCCCTCCCTCTGTCTCTCCTCCACTATCTCCATTCATTTCCACTGCTCCAGGCCTTTTTTTAATTCCCATTCATCTCCTCTATCTAACGACTTGAGACAAAAATGTGAGTGGCCCCACACCGCTGGTTCAGTAAATACTCAAAAATGTGGAAGGTTGCTGAGAATCCAAATTCAAGAATGGAAAGTGGGGATAGGATAGGAGCTGGAAAGAGGAGGTAGGAGAGAGAGATGCTGTATGCAAACTGGGGAAGATGCTCAAAGCCCCGGAGACAGCTGTCTTACCTGCTCTTGACTGAGCTATTCAGGATGCTGATTTACAGTTAGAGGTTGCATGTCCAGAAACACAAAGGCCTGAAGCAAATTGTGCAACTCAGCAGGCAAAATGCTGGCTGGATCTCAGCACTATGCAGCCCCCTACCCCAGTGCCCTTGTACAGGGAATAACCGCCACAGCCACGCAGGCCCTGGAGCCTCTCTCCTCCTCCATGTCTCAGTTGCCGCACATGTGAAACAGGGACATTGAGCGTGGTAATGCATGCAGCACCCACACCACTAAGCCCTAAAATGCCTTGTTCTCGGTATCTGAATTACAGATTTTAAGGAAATTGCTGTTTTATTGCTTCCAAATACATAGCGTGATTAGAACTAATTGCAGGAAGCTGCCAAGCAGCCGTCCTTAGGAGCTCGGTTTTGACAATAGATAAGAATGATTTGAATTAGCGGATCGGTTACCAGAAATGTCGATGGGTGTTTCTACTGTGCCTGATCGTGTTTGGAGGCAGCTTGTCCTCTTAAGTGGTGTAAATATCCCCCCTGTAATCTCTGTTTATACTATTAGTATGCCCAGCAAATCATTTCTTTTTTCATATCACAAATCCCACCAGATTGAGCTGGCATTAACGAGGTTTTACTCTGCTTGACTTTGGAATGCTGTCAGCGACTCGGCCCTCCTGTTGTCACTGTAATGCTCTCCCACAGGCCCCGTTGCTGGAGACTCGGGGTTTACTCATCAATCTCTAAAGGAATGAGGAGCCGCTGCTTAGGATGCCAGGACACTATTAGTTAGCAGCCCAGGTATCAAACACCAATTTGCCAGCACTAGAGAGCGAAGGTTACAGCGATGACAGAGCCCCTCCCTCCAGGCTCCTCATTCACTGCGTTTTATGCCCTACCAATTATTTTCTTGTTCATCAGCACGTGTCAGTGCCTGTCTCCTTCACCTAAAGTGCAGGAATGTGGGTTCTTACCTGAACTAATAAACGCTTGTCATCCCTTGTTGACTGACTGGCACACTGTGAAAGGAGACATGAGCAGAACGCCCAGAGAGTTCCGAGTCACACCTGAGCTATCAGGGAAGGTGTCCCAGTCAAGGCATAAAGCAGTGTGTCTGACGGGGGTGGGAGGGCTCTTAAAGGATGCCTAAGAGGTCCCTAGGTGGGCCGGAAGGGGAAGAATAGGACCAGGCTTGGTGGCACAGTCCTGCAACTGCAGCATTCTGAAAGCAGAAGCGGGAGGATTGTGAGTGTGAGGACAAGCCCGAATACAGACTAAGCCTGCCTTTAGAGGAGGCGGGGGCATTTATGTGCACAGAAGAGCCACACAAAAGCATGACATGTACGAAACAGCACCTCATGGTTGGGAGAACTGCAAACCAATGGAATAGGCAAGGAAGACCAGCAGAGAGTGTAGCTGAAGAGGTTGACATGAATCATTCCATAAAAGCTTTAGATACCGAGCTAAAGAATCAGTAACTGGACGGTCAATGAGATTGAAGAACAAAAGAAGCATCTAACCAGGCATAGAACCCAGACACGGAGCTGTGGACTCCGCCCAGCAGCCCTCTAACCCACTGTCATTCTTACACAGACACAGTACCCAAGCCCATGGTGCAAGTGTTCACTGCTGCAGCGGAAGAGGCGCAAGCCCCCAATACCTGCCAAGTCTTCTTGTCCTGCTGGGTCTCCAACACCAGTGATATAACCTATAGTTGGCGGCAGGAGAGGACAACGGACGGTGATGCCGAACTGCACAGCTTTTTCTCAAATGGACAGTTGCTAAGTGTCTCACTGGGGCTGGGAGACCAGGATGTGGCCTATACCTGCATTGCCTCCAACCCCGTCAGCTGGGATACGGCCACAGTCACTCCCTGGGAGAGCTGCCATCATGAGGCAGGTACGCTAAGGACCAGTAGGCAATAGTTTGGGGATTGTGGTGCATCAGACTCATTTCTGACTCTGCCTTCCATGACGCAGCCTCCGGGAAGGCCTCCTACAAGGATGTGCTGCTGGTGATTGTGCCCATCTCACTCTTCCTGATTCTAGCTGGTCTCCTTGGGGCATGGCACCATGGCCTCTGCTCAGGTAGGAGTCTTATATGTGCAAAACATGGGGGAAGGGAAAGCCGGGGCTGGACCTCCTCCCACTTAGATTCAGAGGCCTGCCTCTTTGCTTCTCCGGTCTCATGTCTTGGCCCTCCCCTCAGACTTTGGTCTCCAACCAGAACAACTTGATTTTCTTTCTGTGGTTCCTCAAAGGAGCCACTCTCTCGCCTTCCCCACAGGCCTGTGCACACTATAGTCTCTCTGCCTAGAAGGCACTTTCTGTGATTTTCCCTTTCCATCTGGCCCTCTCTTGCTGAGTCTTCAAGGTGAGCGTGTCCCAGAAAGCCTTCCCTAACTCCCCCCATCTGCCTACCTTCAGTCTGATTAATATCCTTCCTTTAATCGCCTTTACTAACTCCATCCCAAGGACTAATTACTTGTCTGCTCCTGCTGACTTTTGAGCCTCACCAAAGCAAAGGCTGGGTCATGAGGAGACATACTGAGACATTTGGGGAGTGGGGAGTTCCTTGAGCAACAGGGTTCCTGAGACAGGAACAGCAGTGGTGAATGGTTATTGAGGGGAAGTATTGATGAAATCGATGAATCCTACTCTCTTCTTGCCAACCTTTTGTTTTTGTTGTTGTTTTGTTTTTTTTGTGTTGTTGTTGTTGTTTTGTTTTGTGGGACAGGGTTTCTCTGTGTAACAGTCCTGGCTGTCCTGGAACTCGCTTTTGAGGCTGGCCTCAAACTCACCGAGATCCACCTGCCTCTGCCTCCCAAGTGCTGGGATTAAAGGCATGAGCCACCTCTGCCCAGCTCCCTGTCAACCATTCTTAGGAAAGGAACGCTCAAGAGAAGCCCCACCCCCACCCACCACCCACCACCTACCACCCACCCCCGGCCAGTGGCTGATAACACCAACTTCTACAGAGGAGTGGTAAGGAAAACCTGGTCAGCTCAGGTTTTAGGCTCTCTACACAGATAATCATCCCTGCATCCTCCTAGATGCCCTCTGCCTTGACCCTGAAGGAGCATCTCAGATGGAACAGGCTTCATGGCTGTTTTCAGGCTGAGCTTGGTGGTCTTACTATGTTAGCAGTGCCCTAGAAGACCAGGGTCTTCTGGGACCAGGGCTTGGGTCCAGGAGTGACAGGGACTTGCACATTTTTCTCAAGAGGCAGGGAAGTTGAGGTGGAGGTGCACAGCTTAGACGGCACTCCATTTGAGGGTCCTGTCTGTGAGGAAGAGGGTCTATCCCACACCCTTTGCTCCCCAAGATTTGTGGTAAGAAGGTAGAAGCCAAGAAAAGATCCGTTTTTAAAGACTGTTTTATTGAGCTATAAACCATACATTGTACAATTCACCTAGTTAAAGTGCACAATTTAATGGCTTTAAGTTAATCCAGAGCTTTACCTCCAACCCACAACCAATTTTAGAACATTTCTCTCACCTCCCCCACCAAAAGAAGATTATAACCACTTAGTCAACACTTGCCAACTCCCCTGTGTTTTCCCCAGCCCTAGGCAACCACAAGTCTACTTTCTTTATCTATTCTGGGCAGTTCACATGAATCGAACCCCACTATGCGGTTCTCTGTCATAGGCTCCTCTCGCTTAACCTAACATCATAAAGGTTCATAAAAGAACAACTGTGGCCACCTGGGTAATGTAAAAGCTCCACACAATATGTCCAGGGACTGGTCCTAGCTCAGCCACGTGACGTCTTGTCATGTAACCAAGCGCGGCACAGCCCTGACTCATGGTATGGGTGCAGACGATATGTAGACATTAAGAAGAACGTCCTGTTCTTAACAAACATCCCCTTTCCCGTGAGGGGTGACTGGGCTCAGGAGATCTAGTGTTCAGGGCCTGAGGACGAGTATGGAGGATGAGTATGCCGAGAGGCCAAACACAGGAGGGGTAACCTTCTGATCTTCTCACCAGGGAAGAAGAAGGATGCTAGCACTGACAGAGTGGTTCCAGAGACGGAGAATCCCCTCGTGCAAGGTACGCCATGAGGGACAGCATAAACTGACGCTTGGATCTTGATGTGAGGCTCTGCCTAGTCACATGATGCTCCACACCTGGAAACTTCCAGGATCCTCGTCACTTCCGCAAGTCTCCCGTCTGCTGCTGGAGAACCGCCAAGGAAGCCATCACCCTGGTTCCAACCTCCTCCACCCTCCCTCCTCTTTGCACACGCTGGATCTTCTCTGGGCAAAGTGGACTGAGAAGTTTCTTCCTTAAGAGCCCTGGACGTTCTCTAGAACCCACAGAGACATTGTCTATCCAAAGCACTCATGCTTCTAGCACTATATAGAAGGAATTATCTACCAAGAGACTGCCTCTAGGCCAGGTACTGGGCCCTAAAAGATAACAGATGTTTGAACTAACAGGGAAATTGAGCTAACCACTGTCAACTCTAACCCCAGCCCCTAGAGTCTGAGATCCTTGTGTTCAAGATGTTATCATAAGAAAAGTTACAGACTAAGGAAAGGTGGAAGGCAGGGCTTTTTCTTTCTGGCCTGAAGGGCTTTCATATCATATGAGTTCAAGACCCCCTCAATGGTAATTTGAGGTTATTAAAATGACAAAGAATAGCTGACATGCCATCTTGATATGGAAGTCATTTTTCTTTCTTTCTTCCCTCTCCCCTCCCCCGACAGGATTTCTCTGTGTAACAGTCCTAGCTGTCCAGGAACTCACTCTGTAGACTAGGCTGGCTTCAGACTCACAGAGATCCATCTACCTCTGCCTCCTGTATGCAGGGATTAAAGGTGTGAGCCACCAACACCCAGCCAAAAGTCATTTTTCTGGTAGCACCCTATTAATAGACATCTTCATCACCATTAACTCTCATGCCTCCTGCATGATCTGGAGTGGTGTTTGAGGGTCTATACATTCCACACAGTTGCCAGAAAGGAAAAAAGAGAGAGAGAATTTGACCCAGCCAACAGTAAAGCAACAGCAAGAGAAGCAGCTAAGTTCAGGGTAAATCTGTCTTTCTGAAACTGGGAGAATGAAGAACCATGAAAAGCTACATGGGAAGAAAACTGGAGGGAAGGGTACCGGGACATTTTAGAATCTGCCACGTTCATTTTCAGATGCAAGTGTTGAAGATCCACCTAAGTACAAGGGGAGAGAAAAAGTCCCTACCACTCAATTGTAGATTGTCAAGGTTGCTTTGACGTACGCCATAGAGGATATTGTTCTGGCCATCTTTGGAAAATGTATCCTGCCATTGAATGATTCTGTCTGGAAAACGTCTTGGCTCTTTATTGCTGCTTGGGAAAACAAAGCACTTGATGAGTTAAACTTATCCTCGGGAAGTAGGAGCTACCAAGGTTCATGCTTACTCTCATCCAAACGGAATGGGTTTTATCCTGGGGCCCCATCCAGGCCTTGATAATAGAGGGGAGGGAGGCACTGAAGAAGCAGAAGTAGTTTAGAATATGTTTCCGAGGTGGCTTCAGTCTCTCCACCCAGGAAGTTACTCCTGCCCTGGCACCTTTCCTCTTCTTCCCAGTGCCAAGAGAGTCACTTTGCCTGGGATAAATGATGGGCACAGTCCATTGGCTGTGTGTTCACACTACACACCTCCCCTCCACTTATCCTGGATTCCGTCTTGCTGGCTTTTCTCAGGGCCCCTGGCTTTCTCTCTCCCACACTCACTTTTCTTCTATCCCCTTTCCTCCAACTTCCTCCTGCAGAGCACACATGGCACATGCCCACTCAACCTGGCAGCTTGGGATGCCCTCCCCTGCCACCTGTAGGCATTTTCTCACCAAGTCATGGAAAAGCAGCCTGTCCCTAAAAACAATGTGAAAAGGAAAGTCCAGGATATAGTGATGAGACATGGTGATTCTGGGGTGAGAAAAATACATGCTGTCCCCCATCTTCCCTCTCTTTATTCCCACAGCCTCACCTCAAATCCAAGCATAGTTCTCTTCAGGAGGAGACTCTTGGAACAGGTCCATGCTACTCAAACAAGCTACTGCTCCCATCTCCAGTGACTCACTTGTCAACTCGAAGACTTATTATCCTTTCTCTGGAAAACACAAAGTGCTCGTGGGAGACCAATCTTATTCTAAGAGACATTGGGAAAGATGCTTCAAAAGTTACACCATCCCAAGTCTGAACTGGATGCTCAGTGTATGTTGAGAACTCTTTGAAGCACTGAGGAAATCAATTTCAGATGAAGCTAAGTAGAGTTCAGTCTCATGTTCGATGGCATATAAATAAAGTATGTGATAGGTGCTGGCAGGTTCTATTTTAAAGATAAAGCAGGCTGGCTTTGTGGTACAAGCTTGGAGAAAAGAGAAAGACCCAGAGATGTGGCCTGGGACCATCTCATGTAGGACCTCATGATCAAAGAGTAAGAGCCATGAAGTTTGGGAGGCAGAGGGGACAGTGAATCGAGGTGTCTGTCTCTTTGGCAGATGTTTCTAGCATGCACACGGTCAGACCAGAACCGTCTCCCGACTGCCTTTTCTCTTCTTTGTTCTCATTTTCTTTATTTTTAGTGATAGCATTTGAACTTATTCTTTTTTTATATAAAAGATAAACACAAGATCTGCTGAAACCAAGAGGTCAAATGACAGAATACTAGAATATACCTGAGTATGGTAGCTTACACTGAAATCCTAGCACTGAAGGCTGAAGCAGAACTGCTGTGACTTTTAAAGGCTAGCCTAAGATATGTAGTGAGTACAAAGCCAGCCTGGGCTACAGAGCGAGTCCCTGTATCTCAAAACTAATATGAGAGAATGGGAGAGAGTACAGCGCAGAAGTCAGTTTGAAGAGAGCTTCATTCTCTTTATGGAGATATAAATACTCAGTGTTTTAAAGAGGGGGGAAATGGGGTGAAAGAAGCTGCAGCAATCATCAGTGGCATCCCCCGCACGCCTTTCTTCCATGTTTATGACATAGTACCTTGCCATGTTGACCGGCTCTTATTGATCTCTCAACAGTCCCTTCCCGACTTGACCCATTGGCTCCCTGTATCCATTCTGCATGTAGCCTGAAAGGAAATCTGTAGACCTCCAGAATACAGTTCCCTGGGTTTGTGAAAGGTTCGCTGGCTGTCTCTCCTTTGGCTATGCTTTGGTGATGACCAATTGCCAGGAGTGGCAGACTGAGCATGTGGGTGGGTGGTAGGGATATGCTATTGCACACTAGCCTGGCTCCCATCCCAGGAGTTGTGCTTTTAGGGAGACACAATAAACTTCAAGTACCTAGAAGAGAATGGCCAGAATGGTGAGAAGTCTAGAAGCCCTTCTCCTATGAGAAATGATTGAAGAAGCTGGTTATGTTTAGTTTGAAACAAAACGACAACAACAAAAACTCAGATGGATGCAGACATACAAATATTTGAAGGACTTTAACATAAGCCCAGACTGTGTAACCAGAGCCAATGGAGCATGTTACCAAGTTGCAGATATTGACTCATGTGAAAAATAGGACATCACAGCGAGGAGGCAGGTCTGTGGTTACTCAGTTCAACTTCTTAGGTGGAAAGCTGAAGTCAAAAGGATGTAATTAGTCAATGCGAAATCAGAATTAGTTCTAAAATTAGTTTTCTAAATCAGTTCTGCCCCTCAGACTGCACTACATCACCAGGAAAGGACTGTCTCACCTATGATGAAATACAGTTATGAAATGAGCTGCTTCAGCAAATGTGAGTAAGCAGAAACTGTCTCAGAGCGAGATCATAGGCCAGAGATTGTTCATATTAGGAAGTTGTACTAGGAGTCAGAAATGCATCGGTGTACAGACAAATTTCTGTCATCCAGGGCCATGTCAGTCCCAGCTCATAGATGCTAACACACTTTTCCCACTGAGTCTAGATGCAATGTTGACATTACCCCTACCAATCAAAGTTGATTGCTGGGATGAAAACTGTATGCTATTCCTGCCCTGAACAATCTGCAGCGGCCTTCCAATAGTGAGAATTCATTACAATCTAAGGAAAGAATGAATGAATAAGCAATGAGATGAAAGAGGCCAGTGAAAGGGTTCTGCTAAGGAACTGGAAAGCAGCCGTGCTTTGTGAAGGAAGATTTATCTAGCTTCTCTTTTGCTGCCATTTTTCTCAGCATGTTGCTTGGGGGAAATATCAGCACTGTAAGGGGAAAGTAATGGGAAATAGTTACACTATTACCAAGAAACACAAACCAGCAATCATACAAACAAGTGAATAATACACACAGCCATTGAAACCGTCATGTTTTTAGAATGTCTAAGAATAAACGCGAAACACTGGCATTACTCAGGATTCTCTGGGTCTATGCAAAAGCAAAAACAACAGCAAAAACCAACTCCTCTGGCCTTAACTAAAGCAAATAAGGAATTCGTCCTAAAATTGTGGTTCACTCAGAGATTCCAAGAAAATACTAACCAGTGTGGAAATAATTCTATGGGGTCTCCATGAAACGATTTATCCTTTTTTTAAAAAAAAAATTGATTTTATGTGCATTGGTGTGAAGGTGTCAGGTCCCCAGAACAGGAGTTACAGACAGTTGTGGACTACCATGTGAGTGCTGGGAGTTGAACTGGATCCTCTGGAAGAATAGCCAGTGCTCTTAACCACTGAGCCATCTCTCCAGCGCCGAATTATTTATTTTATTATACTTTCTGCCTCCCAGTTGCTCACTAAAGAGTCAAAATCAGTAGAGTTAGATCAACTTAGCTGAAGCCAATGACTTTCCTTCTGGGACAACAGAAGAGTGGTATGTGACATCTTGTCAGAAGCAATAGTTGGTTTAACAAAAGAAAGTTTTAAGAAGAAACATGAACAGGAACCTGTGTAACAGGAAACGCACCCATCTGTTCATTCGATAAGGCTTGCTGCACATCTGCTGCACATCTGCTGCACTGCACTGCAGCAGAGACCCATCATCAGTAAAACACTTCACACCCTGCCCTCAAAGGCTCATGATCTCCTTGTCAGCAGCAGTGCCAGGACAGCCATACAGCCCTGCAGTGCGTTCAGAGCCGTCTCCTTATCTGTCTGACCTCTGTCCCCAGTAAGGGGTCAGTCCAGTCCCCAAGAGAAATGGCAAATGACAACTTTGCCTGGAGCAGCTGACAGGCATGGAAGTCTTCCTGGACAGGTCTTCCCAAAGCAAGGATGCTGTTCAGCTGCGTTCTCAGATTACAGAGAAATCACAGGCTGACGGTGACCTTCAGCTTCCTCTCCAGGCGGGGCAGAGAAGAGAAAGTGGCGCTGGGGCCGGAGTCTCACTTCCAGCGTAGGGGGACCTGGGACCTGGGACTGTTGGACTGGGACACGGTCTCACTGTCTTGCCTTCAAGCCCATCACACAGCCTTCCTATTGCACCCTCTTACGGGGGCTCCTCTGGGATCTCCATGGTCAGGTAAAGTCAGTGAAACTCAGGCTGAAGCGGAAAGTGAGGGGGGCAGCACCCCAACTGTTGCTCTCTGCCTGACCATTGGCTAGCCTACTCAGCACCTGACCACCGGCTGCCAGCATAGCTGCGGGAGCTCAGAACACTGGGCACTGAGCCATAGTCCTGCCCATCAGAGCCAGGAACACATCATCCCCAGTCCTACAGCCCACCATCTACCTGGGATCCAGCCCTCAAATATTGGGGAGTCCTCCTGGCTCTTATTGATTATAGTAACCTTATAGCCTAACACCCAGAAAATTCCTAACAGTCCCATCCTCCAACACTCACACGCACACCGGACACACAGAGGCACAACACAGCACCACACACACACTCACATGCACATGCAAAATATGTACATAACACACACAAAACACATACACACACACACACACACACACACACACACACACACACACACCACAGCCTTGGCTTCTTCTTAAGCCTTGAGCACACATCCCACAGGCAGTAATACCTCACCATGAGAAGGCAAAAGAGGATGTGACCTGACCATAGACGAGACAACTACAGGGAAAAAGAAAAGGGGGTACAGAGGACAGAAGGAGGCTCACAGATTATCTGGATGCCTGAACCCTGGGCAGTCAAGAGAAGACAGACCAGTGTACTCATCAGCCAGAGAATTCTATATCAAAGGCCAGAGTTAACACCCAGAGTGTCAGCCAAGTTCAGGGAGTGGCTAACTCCAAGTTTTGTTCCCTGGAGGCTGTGTCCTAAAGGGACAATGAAGTGGAATGCCTTCCAACCCATTCCCTATCAGCTACTCCTAGGAGGCCGTGCTCAGAAATAATATCACCCTGCCCTTTATCTAGATGGCAGTTGCTCTAATCTAGGCT